AAGCTATATATCTGTGTAAAGACTTCTTTGTGAAACAGCTTCTGTGTGTAAAGGCTCCTAAGAACGTTTGTGTGCAAAAGCTCCTTAGAGTAAAGACTTCTCTGTGTAAAACCTTCTGTGTGAAAAAAAGCTCCTTTGTGTAAGGACTTCTCTGTGTAAAAGCCCCTGTGTGTGTAAAAGCTTGCTGTGTGTAAATGCTCTTGTGTGTAAAAGCTCCTCTGTGTAAAGGCTTCTCTGTGTAAAAGCTTCTGTGTGCAAACGCGTCTGTGTGTAAAAACTCTCTCTGTCAGTCAGGCCTTCTTCGTGTAAAAAGTTTTGTGTGAAAAAGCTCCTAGACGTTTGTGTGCACAAGCTCCTTGGAGTAAAGACTTCTCCGTGCAAAACCTTCTGTGTGTAAAAGGCTACTCTGTGTAAAGGCTTCTCTGTGTAAAAGCCCCTGTGTGTGTAAAAGCTTGCTGTGTGTAAACGCTTTTGTGTGTATAAGCTCCTCTGGCTGAAGGCTTCTCTGTGTAAAAGCTTTTGCGTTAAAAGTTGCTGGTGTAAAAACCACTTGTGTGAAGACTTCTTTGTGTCAAAGCTTCTGTGTGTGACAGCTATCTCTGTGTGGCAAGCGGCGTCTTGTAAAGTTTCATGTGTAAAAATGCCTCTTGTAACCTTCTCTGGGTAAAAGATCTGTGTGTAAACGGTCTGTGAATGACAGCTATATATCTGTGTAACGACTTCTTCGTGTTGCAGCTTCTGTGTGCAAGACTCCTAAACTTTTTGTGTGCAAAAGGCTCTTAGAAGTAAAGACTTCTCTTTTAAACCCTGCCGGCCAGGTTTGGCAAAAACGGCCGTTTCCCAATGATCCCAGAAGAGAAATTCAATAGCCGGCCGAGGGACCCCCAAATGGCAGAAATTTGCTTCCAAAAGGCTCCCGGCCAGGATTTGGCCAAAAACGGCCGTTTCCCAATGATCCCAGAAGAGAAATTCAATAGCCGGCTGAGGGGCCGCCAAATGGCAGAAATTTGCTTCCAAAAGGCTCCCGGCCAGGATTTGGGCAAAAACGGCCGTTTC